TTGATATTTAGTTTCTGATTTTTCATAATAAAAATGTGATGAATATTTTTATCCATATGTATTCTTCCATATGTTTTATTACAGAGAAAGTATTATATCAAATCACATAAATGCTTATTCTTTAATACAGATTTAGTAGTAAGGGTGGCTGTATAAACTGAGAAGGAGCCACTTTGTGAATCAGAACAGTCCATGCACAGAAACTCTTCAGCGTTCATTCATTTAGAGAAAGTTCCAGTATTTTGATAGTTTGCATTTTATGGCATGTTTCTCACAAGTTTTCCATTTTCAGAGATGTCCAGGGCGGTCTGTACTGAAGACCTCTTGCTCAGAACTCAAGGGTCCACACCTGCCAGGTGGACTCGCCCAGCAGACCTCCTTGCGAACGTCTCAGAGGAAGGCGGTCACTCATCCGTCTGCCAGGAAAACCGGAAGTGCTCCCGTGCCTGAAGTTAGTCACGTGAAAACCCCCAAGTTTCAAGACTGTCCTGGAAATATCCCCGTTCAGATTTTTGTTCCAGCTGGTGACCACACGCACTCCAGATCCGGGGAGGAATTGTCACCACCAACACAATCTCCTGCCCCTCCTCCTCCGCCGCCACCACCGCCACCGCCACCGCCACCGCCATTACTGCCACCACTGCCACCGCCGCCACCACCACCACCGCCACTGCCATCACTGCCATCGCCGCCACCACCGCCACCCCTCCCAGCGTGGTCCTTTTCTTCTCAATCTGCAAATCATCGGAATTCACATGTCAGGACTTCAATAAAAGAGGATCAGCCACTTTCTCTGGTGTGTGAATCGCCTGCTGAAGGACCACGTGATTCCTCAGACAGTTTTAAATGCTCAGGTAATCTGCTGGAATCTGTCCCTACTCCCCACAGGCTGTTGAGCAGTTGAGCATTCTAGCTTCTAAAGCCATCATCTTCAAATCGACATCTTTTTCAGAATTCTCTGTAATCTTAAAATATTCCAGTATTTGCTACCTTAAGTAGTACTTTTTCATTGGAAAGTTAACATAGCTTAAATCAAAGTTTGAGAAA